TTTAATTGTTTAAGTGAAGTGTAATTAACATGTCCATGACGTTTATGCCACAGTGTAGACTCTATTTCAGTGCTGGTGCATGCAAGAGTTGTCACATTATTCCAATCCAGAGGGAAGCTTCTTTGCTTCATTTGTACTGTCAGTAACTCATTCCCAGTAGGATCAAATATAGTGCAACCAGAGTTTTTAAATATCAGTGTGTGGTTTCTTTCAATTAACTGACCCACACTTATCAAATTTTGATCAATGTCAGGTACATATAAAACATCAGAAACATGCTTGATACCTGATGGAGTGTGTACAACAATCACTCCAATCCCCTCAACTTTTACATGTTCTCCATTGCCCACTTTCACTCTTGATTTGTATGCACGGTTTAATTCAACGAAAATGCTTGAATTAGAAACCATATGGTGTGTGCATCCACTGTCCAATAGCCATGTTTTATCATTGCTGCAGGCTAGGAAATTGTTGGCTGTAAAAAGGTGCTCCTCCTGAGGTTGAAGCTGGTCATCCGCCAACTGAGCCTGCTGCTTTTCCTGCCTTTCTTTTTTAGTCTTGCACACTTTTTGCACATGACCAAATTGTTTACAATTTCGATATTGGAGTCCTATCCTATACCAGCACCACTTAGGTGAGTGACCTGACTTCTTGCAATGGAGACATGGCGGATATGTACTGGTCTTCTCAGCAGATTTACTGCCTTCTCCCTTTTTTCTTTTTGGTCCTGGTTTCTTCACCCCAGAGCTTGCTGGTGCTTTGTACTTCCCCTTAGCAAACAAAGCCCCTTCAACCTGCTCTTCTTGTCTTAACAGCCTTCTTTGTTCAGTGGCATGAAGTGCATTAACCAGCTCAGACAAGGTGATGGTAGAAAGATCTCTTGAATCCTCAAATGATGATATCTTAGCCTCAAACTTTTCTGGTAGGCTTATCAAGACATTTTCAACAATTCTTCTATCTGGTAAATCATCCCCCAACAACCTGATTTTGTTAACAATCTTCCTCAGCTGATCAGAAAATTCCTTCAGAGTTTCTGCCTCCTTCATCTTCAAACTTTCATATTCTCTCCTCAAGTTTAGAACTTGCATTTGTCTAGTCCTAGCATTTTTCCTAAACTCCTCTTGCAGCGTATCCCAAGCTTTCTTAGCCCTTTCATAGGTGATTATCCTAGTGAAAATTGCATCAGACACGACATATTGAATGCAGGAGAGTGCCTTGAACTTTTTTGCAGCTTCCTCACTATGTTGCTTGAGTTGAGCTATGGTTGGATTGGCTCTAAGTGGAGGTGGTTCCATCCCTGTCTCAGTGATTTTCCACAGGTCATAGGCTTTGAGATAGGCCTTCATTTTTGCAGCCCAGAAATCATAGTTTTCTCCTGTGAAAACTGATGGTATTGGTGCTGAAAAATCGGTTGAAGCCATTCCTTCCTACTTTGATTAATCACTCGACTGAATATATGGTTTTGTTGGAGTTTACCTTACTTGTTTTCTCTCTTTTCTACTAGATTTTGCTTCTAAGATCTCTAGGAGCTCTGATACCACTGATAGATTTTAAAAATACAAAGAGGAAGATGAAGTGAAAACTATTCAGTTCATATATATATTGCTAATGATGGACTGGTTTGCTATATATTACAAAAGGATTTCAATCACCAACTATTCTACCAACTACCCTTACCTTGTGGCAGATTGACCATGCTTTGATAAGCAACGGAAAAAAATGACCATACATAAGCTAATATAATACTTGCACTATTACAAAGTGAAGTGACAACAAAAGTGACACATGACTAGCAATAGTTAGTCATTCTTGGGCTTTCATAAGTGCCATCTTTTTTCTTGACTAACAGTATTAGGGGAGGCATACGATCTATTACATGGTTGGATTATTCCATTCTCCTTCATCTTTTTGACCATCCTTCCAATTTTTGCCTTCTGTATGTAAGGACACTTGTAGGGCCTGATCTTGAAGGGTTTTGCTCCTTCTTTAATTGGTATATGGTGACGATAATCTAGGTCGAGGTACGCCCTTCGATTTTGAATAAACCAGTGAAAACTTGTCTACTATGGCCTGCACTCCAAATGGTACATTCTCTAGCTTTTTCTCACTACTGATGTCAATTTATGCTATTACACCATAAGATTAACTCCTACCCAACCCCTTTTCCCATTTAGTCATCATTTGAAACTTTTCCTTCATGGCTTCAGTGCTTAGTTCCAACTCAGTGCACCCATGGATGAATCTTATTCTTCCTTTGCAAAAATCCAATAGTATAGGGTTGAACTGACTCGACCAATCAACCCCAAGTACCATGTCACTCCCTCCCCATTTAAGAACCTTCAACAAGTATTGAAACTCTCGATTTTCCATTTTCTAAATCAAGGAATTACAGATAGCATTGTTAATCAGTTTTTCCCTACATGCTACTATTATTGATGTAGGCTTAACTGGTTGCATCTTACAGTTGAGGGCTCTAGCTAGCTGTTCATCAATAAAACTGTGAATACTCCCACTATCAATTAGTATGGAAATCTTTCTACCTTTGATGCTTCCTGGTAGCCTTATGGTTTTGGTTCTATTGCTGCCTACCAAGACATGGAGGGAGATCTCCATCACTTTATCCGTTTCCTCTTTCAATTCGTGTTCCCCTCTATCATTTGGTGATTCCTCAGCCTTCCTCTTTCATCATCAACCGGTATGAAATTCAAAATCCTATTTTTATCTACATGGTCACGTGTATACTTCTCATCACATTTGCAGCAAGACCTTATTCCCTTTTGGTTTGAAAATCTATAGGGGTCATTGCTTTAAACTTCATAGGGTTACTTGGATTTTTTTTGTTTGGAATTTGTATTTGGAGTGGGCTAATGGGTAGGATCAATTGATTTGGTATGAGTAAAAGGTCTATATGGCTTGGTTCCCTTGCTCAATACTGTGATAGTGTATTCCTGTAAGATAGCTACCTCAAATACCTTGGTAGGATTTTGGGTTCAATGATTTTCACCATGGATTTGATCTCCACTTTAAGGCCACTTGCGAAAATTGATGTGTAATAAGACTGGTAAGTGAGGTAAGGACACCATCACCTATGACTTTAATTCTTCAAATTGTTCCTCATATTCAATGATAGCTCCCTTCTGTTCGAGTTTGATGAATAACTCAATCGCTTCTTTAACGGTACTTTTAACGAATCTTCTACAAATGTCAGTGGAGAATGATACCCAATCAGTAAATGTATGCCTAGTTATGGTTTACTCTGCTATGCTCATCCTTATATCCTCAAGTATTTAGTGAATCTGAAAGTACTTTCTAGCTTTCCTTAACCGCTCCCTAAGCCCTTCTCCACTGAAGTGAGGAAAATCTATATTTGGGATTTCAATGTTCATCCAGTAATCAAACTTACCACTTCCCTACATAAGTGAGTTTCCTGTCTTAGAACTCAATAATCCACCACTAGACAAAACTGGATTTGGGCGTCCTTATATTTGAATCCCTGTACCAGTCCCTCGAGATGAGGAATTTCCTGAATCGAAGTTTAGTGTCATTCTGCTCATCTTAGCGATCATGCCCACAATAGTTTCACATTAACAATTCATTTCCATCATCAGACTTTCCAATCTATCTTGCCCGCCACACAGATGTTTCATTGCCTAGTCTGAACCCTTATAAACCACAATAAGATCTCCCAATTCTTTCACAATCCTTTTAACTTGCTCTTCATGGGTTTTACAACGAGTATCCATTTTCCCAGCTTACGTAATGCTCTGATGCCAAATGTAATGATTGGACCTTAACAATTCCTCAATTTCACTTAGGGTCCATTTGATTGCAAAGATGGAATTTGGGTGAAAATAAAACGAATTTCAAAGAATTGAATTGCCTAGAAATTGTTTTAATGATAATTTTCAATTATTGTGTTTGAATGGTATAATTTTTCACATGAAAAATGTTGAAATAAAAGCATTTTTGATGTTAGTTTGATTTTGTTTTACATGAAAATTGTTAATTAAAGGGATATAATTTACTGGTATTGATGATAGAATTTGCTTTCATTGTCAAAAAAAAAAAAATCATATATTTTTTGGTGTTCGTTTGTCTTTGTTTTACATGAAAATTGTTAATTACAGCAAAATATATTTTTACAATTAGGGATAGAATTTGTTTTCATTGCCAAAAAAAAAAATAATAATAAAATAAAATAAAAGAAAAAATAAAATAAAATCGCCCAATAGCCTAGAAAACCAATTCTCAACATATAGGTGTGAATTGATTTTCCTTGAAAACCAAGAAATGTCTATGTGGCAAGCGAACCAAGAAAACAAGTTCCATGGAAAAAAAATTGCCATCAAACATGACAAAAGTGGAAAAGTGAAATTCATTTTCCATTTTCCATGAAATTCGTTGTCAATCAAACATGGCCTTAGTTCAATGATCAAACACAAATGTGGAATACAAAACATTCATTGGATTTATTGCAATACACTGAATGTAATACAATTGAAATTAGATGAAGGAGAAAAGGGCGAGCTGAGAGGAAGAAACTTTGAGTTTGGAGAAGTGACACGTCCCAACAATCTACCTTCCTCCTCCCAACTCTATCTGATATGATGGAGAAAAAACTTGAAAGAAATGCTAAAACGTATGTGCCAATTACAATTTAATTCTGGCCCAAAAAGACATTTTACATTAATAAAAATAACACTGTTCTTTAATTTGAAAATTCTGTTAGCTGTTGCTCTCCTCTTCCTCCTAAAATAATATTTTCATATTTCACCATCTTTTTCTTCCTAATAACTCATACCATGGGTGAGAATTGAGTAGGTCCATAGAAGAGATAGAGGTCAATGCCAAATCCCCTCTAATTACAGATGAATTTTGATTTAATAAATGAAAAGATGGTATCTTGATACTATCAAATAAATCTTAATCTTCTCGAATAATTTCATCACACACACAAACTATCCATTATCCATTATTAGCCTTTCGACTTCATCGATCTATTAAAAGAATATGCGATATAGATCAAAGGGTTAATCCCCTTTACCCAGCTGGCTCCCTGTGATAGGTGGGGGGAATCCCGTATTGTAGCACGGTTCTTAAACAAATGAAAAATCTAATATTTTTAACTCATAACAGAAGGAACCGGTCACTTGTAATGTGTCATGAATGAAAAAATGAATACATTTGATCAAAACCACTTTCCTATGATTGTGATGAGCGGGGACGAAGAAATTCTTCATATTGTTTGTTTAAGCTTTGATGATAGAGTTTCAATATCGACCTCGTTCAGAAAAGACGGCATCACTTTAGCTGGTTGAAAGACAAAACCTGCTTTTTCGCATGCATCCTCCAGAAGCTTTGCTTGAGATGGCCCGTCTGGGCAGAAAACAACAACGGCACCTCCACTGCCAGTGAATTTTGACGCAGCACCTACCCGTCTGGCCACTTCAACCATCTCTATATTCAGAGCCCCCAGAGCGTCATCCCCAAACATTTGCCTGCATTCAGCTAGCATATATAAGATCATATTGCAGATACTTAGCTCCACTTGTAACGAAAGAAAAAACTACCATTGACAAAGGCGACTGCCATGTGATATCAATTCTGTTCAAATAGTAACTTTAGTCATCATCGACATCATCCGAGCATAAAGAGAGCTTATAACAAGACTACCATTGATCCAAATTAATAATAAGCAAGCAAATTATATCTTTATATCCATTTGGTCAAGGATAAGTTTCTGAAGTGAATCACTTCGTATATATTACTCCTGAGTGTGCCAAAATAGTTGTTAGGGAGAAGATAAAAGAGAGACTGTGTTCTATGCTACCCTCGAAGAGAAACTTGTGCCTATCATAGTATATAAAAGCTAGTAAATTTGGAATTAGTCCTTGAAAATTGCAGATAAATAAAGTTAAAAGGTCTCAATGAACCACTAGGTGTGCATATAGTTAGTTACCTCCGCAAATCAAAGTTGCGATTCATGAGGTTTGCAAGCTTGGTGTAGTCCTTTTCAAGCAACGCCGTATGTCCTTCTAAAGGAATGTTTGCAACCTCTTCCATAGATGATATTATGAACTTATCACCGTCTAACCACTTCTGTCGAACTGTACTATGAACCTGCAGTACATGAATATTTTGTCAAAACAAGTGTTTGCTACTAGCCTCGTTATAGAAAAGATGAAGCCATAATATCACACTTACCTTTCCAGAATCACTAGGATTTTCGGCATAGATCAGATAGAGAGGTGGGAGAAGATCTACGGTCATGGGCGTATAAAGTCCATGTCCCAACTCTTCCATGTGTTTCTTGCTAAAATCCTAAGAAGAGAAAAAGATTAGGCGGCATATAAAGATGATGTTATTCTACAAGTCTTTTCTCTATGCATACCATATAAACAAGGCCCCCATAGACCTGCACTACCCTGTCCTGGAGACCAGCAACAATACCAAGTTCCTTCTCTGCATTAAGGATAAGATTTGGCCTCACCTCGAGTTTTATCAGATGCCTCACTTTATAGAAGTCAAGCAGGCAGCTAAGAGCTGCACATACAATAGCGCTGGAACCAGAAAGACCAGTCTGGGACATGAAAACAACTCTATTTTGAGTCTTCTTATTAAATAAAATACAATCACGCACAGAAACATACAGTGCAAATAATTACCAAAGAATGCGATTTTAAAAAGTTACCAAGGAATACTTCCATTTCCAAGAATAGAAACACAGAGAGAGACAACTCTTGGACAAACCAACAAACCAATTTTATTGCAGATTTTTTAACCAACTGCAATTGCACTCAACAGACAAACAAGGTATTTCACTCTCAACCATCAGCCAAAGGAGCAGTTGAGTGGTTTATCCCTTCAAAACTCTCCGGATCTTAAAAATACAATATCTAGTCCTAAGAATGTAATGAAATGCTTTTAGATCTTAGATCTCATATAATTTCTACAGAGTAGATGTGCACCGCTCTTGTAATCAACATCTCGTCATAAATAGGTGAAATGCAGCAAGAATTTGAGAGATATTTCTATACTAGTTTCAGCATATAAATGTGTGTGCACGTGCTCGTCTGTGGACTTGTATTTAGATCTATTCAACAAAAGGCAAGGTCCTTTATGGCCTTGATTTCGTGCAAATGCGTGAATCGTCAAAGCATGATTAGATAATAAGATAGATATCATACAATTACGTCCAAGTTTCAAAAACTTTCAAGGAATAAGGACATCCAAGAGCATAAGCCCCACCTGTCGAGGAATATTGGTATCATATGACAACTTAAAGTTCCGATCATGTAAACTGATGTTGTTTTCCTTGCAATAATTGTAAAAAATTTTACAGATCGCCATAAGCAGACGAACCCCTCCATAGTAGCCATCAGTTTGCAGCCGATTCACCTAATCATGAAAAAAAAAATGATAAACAAAAATTAAAACCAATAAATAGTACCAATTTTAATCAATCGTCATCAATTTATTGGACCAAAAAAAAAATAATAATAATAATAACAGCTGTGTTGAAATAGAGCAAATCAACGAATTCTAGGATCCCATTAATCCAAAGCACAATAAGATAGAAATCCCACATGAATTCCAAATCAAGATCAAGCAAAAAAAGGGAAAAAAAATGCCTAAATTATTTTATGCGCATATAGTACTATATATGTTGAAAATGCATTTATTACCAGGTAAGGTAGAGAATTGAATTGGACGAGATCGTGAGTGGGGTGAGGGACGATGACCAGATCCGTGGAAGGCTCCAAACGCACAGACGCCCAGAAATTTCCAAGGCTGAATGATATTGCCCGACCGTAATACACATCGCTCGGATTCCCCAACAACCCAACCCGAGCATATGCCTTGTGCTCAACTATGCCATTCTCCGACCGATCATCTTCCATTTTCCAATATTGTTGCCACCTGACTCCTTCGATATTAGGACTCTTGGACTCTTAATTAGAATAGAAATTTCGATTTTTTGAGGTTTTCTATATGTCTTTTTAAATTGAATTTGTGCTTTTACATTAATCACGATTAAATCGATTGAAAATGAATTGGGAACTAATGGAGAAAATATTCTGAATCAAGCCATCAAACAAACTAATGAATTTCTTGGGCTCTGCGTTTAAATTATTTGACTGGTTTCAGAAGAGGATAAGTATGAGCCAGTCTGAGCATGTTTAGCCAATCTTTTAACAATTAATCTCGAAGTACATATATATTTTTTTAAGAATAATGCTATTGTCAGTGAAGATTACTGACAGTCGTTCTATGTGACGTGCACTTGACAGTTTTTCATTTGATATATAATTTAAAAAATAATTACCATATCTATGTATCAAATACCAAGTTGTCAAGCGTATGTCACGTAGGACGATTACAAGCAGTCTTCACTACGAATAGCATTACTCTTTTTTTTTTTTTTTTAAGTATGATTTGTTATTGTCAAAAATTGTTTTTGAAAACAGCTAATTACAAAAAGACAATTGTGTTTCTGTACAAATTTTGTAAAAAAAATATGTATTTATAGCATTGTTCATCTTTTAATGGGTATACAAATGAATATTTTTTATCAATGGAGTCAGGTCGATTTAGGTTCAATTTTCTGATTGAAGGTCTATAACAATAGTGACAGATTTTGCATAAATACAGGTCAAGGCTATGTAAATGATTAAAGAGGGCGTAGACTGTATTAGATTTCAAAAATCCCTTTAAATCTAGAGGTTTTCAATTGAGATATTAATGAAATTCACTAAAATTTAAGTATTTCCAATTAAGATTTTAATGAATTTCAGTGAAATCTTTTAAAATTTATGTATCCTCAATAATTAGTGTTTCTATAAAGATTTCATTAATAGAAGAATTTTAAAAGATTTAGATAAATTTCAAGTTTAAAAATATATATAATCAATTTTTTTGGAATTTCACATTATTTAATGAGATTTTTATGGAATTTGTAGAAATTTATTCAAATCCACAAAATTCATTAGGATTTATAATCTTTCGAAATCCATCAAAATTTTAGTTGAAGACACCCTTGTAAACAAGATACGTTGAGAGTTTGAATCTATTTGAATTTTCACTTCACAATATTAAAAGTCTAAAACCAAGAATAAAACCGAACTAGTATCTAAAATCGTTTAAAACTTAAGTATAATATGTTTCATTTTAATATTGCTTTTTTGTTACTTATTATGAATAAACATAATGTAAGTGATTTAAAGTTTGAGAAAATAAATAGTGCAACTACCAACGAGGTTCGCTCGGTTCCTAGGGATACTGACTAAACAAGAAACGAGTGATGTTGTCCTACTACCTAGAAAGAACAGCTTATTTGTTGCTGTAAACATTGTTGGAAGTTCTCTCTAACGAGAGCCTCCACAAACTCCCAATTTTCCACATATTTTCTCTTTGCCCTTGTTTGTGTAATTTGTATCGAGTTTTCATTTAGTTGAATATATCAATTGGTGCTGGATAATATTATTTAATTTGTAAAGTTGATAAAAATTTAAATCAGAGTTAACAATTACTTTTAATAAATTATTTCATGGGATTAACAACTTTTATCAACTTTCAACAACATATTTTATTGCTCCACTTTTATTAAAATTCGCTAAAAATTTGATTTTTGGCTACACCGAATATAGCTTTATATTTTCGCCAATCACTAGTGAGAAAGGGGAAATTGCATTGTTGATTACTAATCTATTATTTTGGTGATAAGTTGGTTCTTAAATTTTTAGATCGGAGTATATTAAATCTCAATTTTAATTACGTCTGCACAATCAATCTCCAATATAGCGAGTTGTTCAAATTTTTGTTAAATTATAATATGACCATTGTATGTGCAACATCTCAAGTTTCTGGGCATAGGTCCTATTGATAAAGTTAGATGTGTAGTGACCACGTAATGATTTAACGGAGAATTGTTTGTCATGGGAGAATGATTGTGCAAATATAAAGAAACGTTGCCAACTAATTGTTTTTTTTTTTTTTTTCTTTTTAAAGGATATAAGAATCAACTTGTTTTCAAAACAATAGTTGAGAACGAACAATCCAGGTATCCGACAACAAATTACCAGCTCACCTCAGTGAAGTTTAGGTTTCACATGGATGGTAAGCTGACTTGTGATAGTTTATTTAAAAAAAAAAAAAAAAAAGTTTCCATTAAATTTTCTATTTATATTGAAAAAAAATTTTCCCTTCAAAATGTGCTCTTAGCTTTCTTTTCATGCAAATTTCGAGTATATCATTTACCAAATATCATCAGAGCCAACTCTAACATTGAGCATTGAGTGAGTGAATTGAGGAAGCTTTTTAGTTAGGAATTGTTGACCCAAAAAATATTGCCAACAGATCCCGGCCTCGTCCCCTCCAAATCTGCACATGAAACACCCCGTTAGGAGGCAAAGGCCGCTGATCGAAAAAAAGGTCCGACAATCGTTTGAACTCCGACGATCAAATCAACGGTCGGACGAAAAGAAGATATAGAATGCGAGAGTCGGGAGAGGGGGTTTGGCTAGGGTTTAGAAAATATACCTTAAGTTGTGTGAATGAGCTTGTATTTATAGAGAAATGAAATGAAATGAAGGGGTCCTGGGCCGAGTCCAAGCCAAGTCCAAAAGAAAGGCCCAATATGACATGATTTATGTATAAAACAATAGTCCCCAAAGGCTGAATTGTATATTTATATGCGAGTTGAACTTGAAATATGAACTGTTAAATAGGCGATGCCCCGTCGGCCATTGTGGAACCCCTTTTGTCATGTGTATGCCACGTAATTTTTGGATATAACAATAGTACCCTAAATTTGACTCGTATTATTTATATGCGCGGTCAGACTTTGAAATATAAGCTATCATGTAGGCGAGGTCTTACAGATTACTTCAGAAATATGAGTAGCTCCAATAAGCGAGGACTTACGAGTTGTCTTGAAATGTGTGTGAATCAAAATAAGCGAGGACTTACGGATTGCCTCGAAAGATAAATACTACAAATATTTTGTCAAAATTTCGACAGTAACTCCCTTGTAATATGGACTAAACCAACATGTAATACAATACAATTTATCCATAGCATATATACCAAATAAATTTGGGGTCCATTTGCCCCTTCAAATTTCTTCATTCATGGCCTCTTTCCAGAACTTAGAATCTGGACATTTATTTGCTTTATCAAATGAAGTAGGTTCAGAATTTAATAAGTCCAGACCAGAGAAAAAGGTGACAAATTCTTCATTATTAAATCTGATTGGAGGTCTTATATTTCTCCTTTCTCTATCCCTAGTTAACTGATAATCAGCAAGTGTAGGATCTGAAGACTCCACCTCAATTTCAGTTTCATTTTGATCAGGGTTTTCCTCAGACTGAGAGGTTTCCACCTCAATTAGACCATCTAGATTTTTAGATTCATCAGTTTTGTTTTCCAGGATGGTTTCTTTCAATAGTGCAGGTTCAGAAGTTTTAAGATCAGTTGATTGTGGCGTGCCATTTTCATTGAAGATGACATTTCTACTAATAATGACCTTAAAGCCATTTTGGTCTCTAACCCACAGTTTGTACCCTTTTGTTTCCTCTCCATAACCCAGAAAAACACAATTTAAGGACCTGGGTTTTAGTTTCCCTTCACTCTGATGTGAATAGGCAATACAGCAAAAAACTTTCAGTTTACTATAATCAGGAGTTTTTCCTGACCATATCTTTTTAGGGACTTGAAAATCAATGGCACTTGATGGACTTCTATTTATTAGATAAGTTGCTATTTTTAGGGCCTCTCCCCGAAAGAACTTATGAAGACCAGAACTATACAGCATACATCTCACTTTTTCCAATAAGTATCTATTCATTCTCTCAGCAGCACCATTTTGCTGAGGAGTGTATGTTACAATTTTGTGTCTTAAGATTCCATAATCTTTACAAAACAAGTCAAATTCAGAGTTGCAAAACTCAAGACCATTATCAGTCCTTAAAGCCTTGATTTTCTTATTTGTTTGGTTTTCGATCATTAATTTCCAACGTTGAAAGGTTTGAAAAGTATCAGATTTTTGTTTTAGAAGAAAAGTCCAGATTTTCCTTGAAAAATTATCTACTATTAGTAGATATAATCTAAATTCACTCAGAGCATTTACAGATGCTAGTCCCCAAAGATCAGCATGTAAATATTCTAATATAGAAGTAGATTTATGAATACCAGTTTTGAAAGGCAATTTTTTATATTTTCCAAATACACAATTTTCCCAAAAATCCAAACCCTTAACATTGTCCTTACCAAAACATCCAAGTTTATTTAAGATTATTAGTCCCTTTTCTGAGATGTGACCAAGTCTTTTGTGCCAAATTAAAGACTTATTAGAATCAGAGTTTAAGGCTATAGAACAGTGGTCTATCACAGATTGAGCACATACTGTATATATGCCATTTATCTTTTGAGAAGATATGATAGTTTTATTTCCTTGCATAAGTGTTAAAAAACCTTTATGAATCATAATGCTGTATTTATCATCAAGCTCACCCAAGGGAATAAGATTTCTTTTTAACTCTAGGACATATCTAGTGTTCTCAAGTTCTAGGGTACAATTGTTATTTAATGAGAGTTTAACCTTTCCAATCCCCTTAATTTGACAACTCATGTCATTTCCCATCTGAATTTGTCCTCCATTTAGGTCAACAAATTCAGAAAAACATTCTTTTGTGGGACACATGTGAAAGGTGCAGCCAGAGTCAAGGACCCATTCATTTGGGTCTCTTCTGATGGTACTAAAATAACCCCTTGAATATCATATTCATCTCTGCAGGCTACAGCTGCAGATCCCTCAGTATTAGTATTCTCTTTCATATCTGAGATTTTCTTGAAGCAGTCTTTTATTACATGACCAGTTTTACGACAGTACTAACATTTCCTGATCTGGTTTTTAGTTTTCCATTTATTCTTATTCTTTCCCTTAGATCTGGAGAATTGAGTTTTCTCTTTCTTATTTAAATTTTGATTTAAGGGATATTGTTTCTTATTTTGGTTCTGTTTCTCGTTTATGAATAACCCCTCATCATAACTAGAGTATTTAGACTCAGATTTTATTTCAAGTTCTCTATTTCTCAGGGCTGAGGTTATTCTATCAATGGTAAGTTCTTGCCCCCCATATTCTAATGCATTTCTAACGTCTCTATACTTATCACTTAGTGAAT